TATTACAGTGCTTGGATGCTGTTGTCTGCTGTTCATCCACACACCTCAACATTTGGGTCATGCTTGTCTTTATTCTATATCCTCCAGCTATTAGCCTTACTGATTTTTCTCATCCTTATGGATGACCCAAAAGATTAATCAAAAGAGTCTGAACTCTCCTCCACTCTGATGACTTTTTATCTCTACTCATATATCAGCTATTCACCAATACAATACAAGCTATTCACTAAGAAAAAAATATCCCTGATATTTTCACACACACCAAGATTGGTCTATGCTTGTAAAATGCTCTGTAGGATGAAGCACTAAACTTTTATCTCCCTCAGCACTGAGGACAGTGCTCTGCATACAGTAAGACACTTTATAAATGTTAGGGTTAGGTATTAGATCTGTGATTTCACTGGCATATGGAAATACTAGGTGAAGAAATTTCTCTTAACAATGCAATCTTCTCTGGAACTTACATTCTTAAAGAGTTACATTGTGAACATGAGTGACTTGCCCAGGTTCTGGGGCAGGACTTGAACATAAGTCGTCCTGTCTTCAAGACCAGTTCATTATCCTATCCACTATTCCATGCCACCTCTTACAGCTGAATGGAATTGAAATTGTTCCTCTAATGAGACTACTAGATTATAAATCTACATAATATTGTTTTAGTCTCTAGAATAATTGTTACTCAAAGCATATCTCACCAACTCATCACCACCTTTCTCAAACCATAGCCTACATACCCTACCTACAATAAACACCTTCTTCATCCCTAATGCTAGTCTCTCACTAAGCCATCAAAGTCTTAATCTCACCCACTTAGATTGTATGATTGAGCCCCCCCCCTTTTTTTACTAAGCTAATTCTATGGGGAACTATATAAACACCTCCTTTTCTATGAAGTTATTCTTTCATTTCACCTTTGTTCACTTTTTCCTAAGCTTCCCCTACCCCCCTCCATTCAAAACCTGTTACTAAGAAGGCTCTTGAATTGCCCTATTAAAGGCTTTCTATCCTCTGGCTTCTGTTTTTCTACATTTTTTTCTTTTTTTGGGGGGGGGTCTTTTTTCCACACTATAAATTTCCATGTTTTGTCTCTTTTTTAAAAAATTAATTTCAGTACAAAAAGTGCAGCACCATTGACATGATTGAGCTATATATGTTGACATTATATATATGTATACACACACACACACACACACACACATATATGTATATATGAACTTTAGGCAAAATTATATTATCAAGGGCATTTAGTTTCCCAGCAAAAGTATTATAAATGAGACAGATGTTTCTGGGTGTCTGCAATTCAAAATACAAACGTTTAACATCAGGTGTTACAAAGATTTAAGATTATAATAGGACTGGTTGGGCTCAGTTGCTTCAATAGACCAACAAACCAAGTTGTCAGAGGGACTCCTGAGATTTGTAGCTGGAAGCCAGTGGAATGAGGAGGGAATGGAGTGATATATTTCTACCAGGTTCTACCCCCCACTTGGATTCTTTTTGTTCCATTTTCCTCTTCTTTGAACACATTTTAAAATGTATCACTTGCTAAAATACCCAACATAAATAATCTTTTTTCCCCCACTGACATTATATTTATAGAATACATTTGCCAGCATGCTTTTCTTTCTAGGCTTAGTACTATATATTTTTTCATAAAGCCTTCATTTTGGTCTCCCTTTCTTATCAAATCAAATCAACTTAATTCACTTCTGATATGTAAATTGTGGTAGACAATTGGGAGTAATTGATCCAAACTCCCAGACGATCAGGTTCCTAGAGAAGGTTAATTACTTTATGTGGATGGACCATTTGATGCTCTGACAGCAGTATGTTCCTAGTTCTCAGGTCACAATATTTACTAGTCCAAGGCTACACAAACCAAAAATTAATTCTCAAGTTCAAGAATAATTTTATTAATGTGGAGACTCATTAATATTCCTCCCACTCTGGGGAGAAAGTTTCCATTTCTGGCTTTGTTATACACTCAGTCTATCACCTTAAAGTAGTCACTTTACTTCTAGGATTGCAACTGGTCACATAGAGGGGTAGTGAAGATAAATGAATTCGTGTTTTTAAGGTGATTTGAGGATCTTCTAATGAAAGGCATTATATAAATGCTAATTTTTATAATTCATTCCCACATCCATACATTTTATTTTAGCTGCCTCCTAAATTGATCACCCAAAGCACTAATTAACTATTAAATGTTTTTAAAAAGGAATATGGAGAACTGAAATTTTAGTCTGAATGTTGAATATTCTTCCTTTTCAGGACATAGCCCTCATGATTCCAAAGGTATTTAAATGCAGATTTTTTTTTTTTTAGAGACAGAGCTGAATGATACATTGAATGTGGTGTTACTCTTCTGTGCTAAGGTTACTGCACATTGCAAAAGTTGGAAGTACAGTCCATTGATCAGACATACACAACGTGTACTGTATTACACTTAGCAAAACTTTTAGATTTTTACATGTGATAAATTTTTTTTCAATGAAAATAATTAGAAGTTATTATATTCAAGCCATTTTGATACTCCTTGAATGGAATACATTTTAGAGAACTTTTTCAATATTCAAAAAAATTCTCAAAGATCATTTGAATTATTTTTGATCTCTCTGCCATTGATGAAATTTGTTGAATTAATGTACTATTTTTGATTTTGTGATCACTATTGCCCACTTAATGGAATAGAATGGTAGGAGAATGGTAGGGAAAGCATATCTGCTGTTGCTTTCTAGGTTTGGCTCCTGACTTTCTCTACCATGCCCCTGAGCTGATATAGTCTCCCCTCTCCATGTTGGCTTCCTTTTAGATGTTATTTTTCCTTCATTAGAATGTAAACTACTAGAGGGCAGGCACTGTCTTTCTTTTTGCTTTTATTGTATTCCCAGCACTTAGCACAGTGCTTGGCACATAGTAAGTGGGGGGGAATGGGAAGGAAATTAGCACTTATATAGCACCTACTATGTGCCAGGCACTGTGTTAAGTGCTTTACAAATAATTCATTTGATTCTCGGCAACCCTGACAGGGATATACTGTTATAAGTATACATATGAGGAAACTGAGGCAAATAGATATTAAGTAAGGGGCACACAGTATCTAAGGCTGGATTTGAACGCAGATCTTTCTGACTCCAAGCCCAGCACTCTATACAAAGCGCTACATAGCTGCTTCATTAAAGGTTGAATAAATGCTTGTTGATTTGACTTGCTAGGTTATTTTCCATGTAGGGTCTACAAATGTGTGATCTCATCTTTTTGGACGTTTTCTTCAAAGATGCAGGTTACAACCCATCTAAGCCTGCCTATCCTGTGTGGCTATTTCCCATGCCCTCCCTTAAGTGTGCCACAGGGTTCCCCTCAATGGGCTATAGGCCTTCCTTACTTTCTCCTGAAATTGCAAGGATAACAATGAAACACTTAGGCTGTCTATCTGTTCTACCTTGCTCTCACCATGTGATTGGTCCAGTTTTTATTTTGTAAGTTACAATTTTGAAAAGAGTCACTCAGGGCTATTAGTGGTCTATGATATTAAAACAACCAGGAAAAGAAGTCCTATAGTGAAGCTGGTACCACAGAGAGATTATTCTAATGGATATCTTACCATCCTCTGGGTATGACTCACCCTCAGTTCTAATGCTTCTGTCCTAACTAGCCCTGGAGGAACCCTGAGGAGGCAACTTATACTCTAGGTTATTCTCAGAACTCTGTTTTATCCTGGGAATGAATGAACAAAGGTTGAAGGTATGTACCAGGGAATATCTTATAAGTACATTACCAGATAGAAGACAAATAAACTGTCTTTAGAGACAGTTTAGAGACAACTTCTCTTTAGCGACACTCCTCAGTTAGACTTTATTCTGGCTCAATCTAGAGGGCCTAAAGTATGACTCCTGAGCGAATGCTTGCAATCTAGGACTTTTGAGGCATCAGGAAAAGTGATTGATTGCTAATTTTACTCCTTTCTCTACTACAGACGGATCTCTGCAGCATAGATAGGGTAAGACAAAGTAAAATAAAAACTTGAATGAATGCTGCAGGATGATTTTAAAAAGGTTAAAAAGTAAAAAAAAAAGATTACAAATAAATGTTAGGATGTTATGTGGCTACAGTAATATATTAAATATTTTTCATATCTTCATAAGTGATTAATTCTGACTCAATAGCTGATATAAACAGTTGTTTGCTGTGCTTGTCTTCATTTTATGGTAAAGTAAGACTCAGAAAATTTTACTGATTATCCTCTGAAATGTCTTGTTTTATATAACAAGAGTGGAAATGGGATTGGTCTTTCATAATTCTTAGCTTACTTGATTTACTCCCTGACAGGCATCCCAGAATTCAGTATAAAATACTTTAAAAGTTATTCTTTATGGAAATTCAGAGAACTCTATTTCCTCTGAGAAAACAGAAAACACTTTTTATTATGTTAAATGATAATGAAACCATTTTGATTTAGCTACTTATGATTGTGTAGGAAACTTAGATTTTGATTTTAGTTTAAGGGAATAATCCAACAATTAATTTACCTATTTTAGGGGCCTTTGTTACCTCAGAGAGATCAGGAAGGAAGACATCTGACTTGTTTGGGATTTCTACTGAAGCCCTGGGGCTCAAAACATGATGCTGATTGAATAACCTGAGAGCTTGTGTTGGCTTTCATTAAGACAGACATATTATTATTATTAACTACACTTAAACAATTTAAAATCTAATAAAGCCCATTTTCATTACGATTCATTAATAAGGCAATTCCAAAACACTTTGGATAAAATCATGTCTATCAAGCAATTTATATACTATTCCAACTCTCCAACTTTTTCCACATGTGTGCATTCACGCACACACACACACACACACAGAGTAATACAACACTGTTAGGAGTCATATCTGATTTTTTGAAATGTAGCTTTTTCCAAATAGTGCCATTTTAAAGGAAGGTCACTACAGAAGCTATGAATGAGGGTCAAACATCAAGGAATAATTTCCACATCACTGACCTCTAAGGAGCTCATGGATATCGTTGACCCAGTTTCGCTTCTTGCTAGTCCTGCATTGTCATCCAGCTCAGAGGCCATGAAGTTCTTTACAGCAGTACGAGGCTCAAATGGCAAATTCTGCATATGCTCCTGGGGTGCAAGGTGCTGATCTAAATTCATACTAAACTGGTCCATGACAGGAGGATTCATGTTAAATTCAGGATTGACTTTGTAGTGCAACAGCCTTTCATGAGGCAAGGTTTCCATGCCAATATTCAGTTTACTCTCCTCTTTCAATGCTGATTGGGCATTGACAGAGCTTCTGGGCATCACTATATAGTCACTTTCCATCATTCTTTCTTGAGGATGTACTATGTCCATATCTGCCCCTCTCAAATTATCATCAGTGCATAAGTACACAGTTCGCCGTAACTCACTGTTATCTTTTTTCAGACACTGATTAGCCAACTCATTCATGCTCATTGGCATATGCAGACCTGTGGGCTGCTGGATGATGACTTTGGAAATGATGTTCCCAGGCAAAGTTGAATAGCTCAGGCCCTCGGGATTTGTTGCCTTTTCTTCTTCATCATCATTCAGAGAAATCCGAGATAGTGTTCCTGTTATTGTAGCTGCCCGGCAAGGCCCAATATCCTTATGAAGAACTGTAATTAGAATACAGCATTTTTGGAAATGAAAGTCATTGTACTTTTAAAGTCATTTGTTTTTCCATTAGTGCCCTCCTTTGTTTTTCTCTTTGGCTATTTTATTTTTATTTCCTTTCCTTAACAACCTGCACTGAAGTCCTATTTCACTACTTTAACATGGCATACAAGAATCCCTAGTTCCTCATAAGCTATGCCAGAAGAACATGAGCTCAGGATGGTTTTGTCAAAATGGGAAGTCCTTCAATGTAAACTGTCCTCTGAGGAAGAACCCATCTAAGTGTAGGGGGTTTTATCAACCAGGATGTTGGCCATGAAGTGATGATTTTTTTTTTTAGACCACATTTCATTATAATATCTACGAAAAGTGTGGAGAGGTAAAGATTTGTATTGGTAGAGAGAATATGTACACCCTGATGAAGTCATGGATCTTTTGAAATATTGGGATATTCTTTAATAACATTAAAGTGATCCTTTAATTAAAACTATGTTTTTATATGTTGTTTATAAATTATCTTTATAATTTCCTACAAAGATGAAACTTCTACTCTTTCTGTCAATGTACTATATTAACTCTGGTAAGCCATAACTTTAAGTGGAAACGTGCTTTCTGAAAATCTGAAAAATGGCCTTAAAAATTGCAGCTTACAGTAACATGTGAGCAACTCAATGTATAACCTCTTAGGAAAAAGAAAAACAGAGTATAAGTTAGATTTCTCATCTACCCACCCTGTAATCTTCTGTGGAACTATGAACTAGTTCATGCTTTTTAAAATGTTCATTGTTTTTCTCTACAAATGCTCTATAACTAGTAATCATTACTAAATTATCTTTTGAATAGAGATAATTAGGAATGAATGTATTTATGCCAGTAATTCCTATCTTGTTTCACCTGAAGAATCCAACAAAAATTGTGTCACTGAAAATTAATGAGCAGTTATCCATTGAAGTCCATCTGGTCAAGTAGGTACAGGGAACAGAGGTATTTATCACATTTAGTTTTAAATACAAGAAAGTTTTTTTTACATAACCAATTCTGGTACTCTAATTCCCCAGAATGTATATGAAAATCACCAACTGAGTTTAAATAGATAAATAATTTAAGCCTCTGTGACTCACTTTTCTTTCATTAGCCTTGGGGAAAAAAAAAGTAACTCAGGAAAGAAATAGATGCCTTATCAGGATTTAAAAATGGAGGACAAATAGGTAGCCCCCCCCCAAAAAATTAAGCATTTTCCAATTGAAATTACTGTCAACTCCTAGGAGTGCATTGACTCTACTTCAAAAGAAAGTCATGTTATTTTAGAGAAGGTAGTGGGGGCAGCTAGGTGGCACAATGGATAGAGCACCAGCCCTGGAGTCAGGAGGACCTGAGTTCAAATCCCACCTCAGACACATAATACTTCCTGTGTGACTCTGGGCAAGTCACTTAACCCCAATTGCCTCACAAAAAAAAAAAAAATAAAGAAGGTAGTGATCTAACTCATGCTTGGTTGTGCTCAATGGTCTGTTTTGAAGTGCTCTGTAGGCATAAGTGTGACAGTGGTGATATAACTTCCTTTATCCCAAATAACCATCATCTTCTTTCACCTCTGTTCAACACAATCCCACAGACCTGACTTTCAGTCTCTCCAAAATGGAGACAATCTGTTAACATTCATTTTGGTTTATATACTATGGAATTTGTTGTTATATTGTCTCCTCATAAAGGCTTTCACATGTATTACATTCCTCTTCCAATTATCAAATAAAAGAATTACTTTCTATATACTAAAACATAGGTAAAGTTTTTGAGTATTTGCCCCTTTTGCAAGTTGGTACTTATTATAAAAAAGCCTTAAATATAAGTTTAAGCTTGTATCATTCATATTGCACCTTTCCATCAGAAAGAAAGTATGCAGCTATTTCATTAGATTTTTAAATTTTAGACACTGAAATCTTATCACATGCACATCAAACATTTTAAAATTAGCTCCCATTTCATTTGGGTTTCCTTTTAATCCTCTGCAGGAGGCAAAATGAACTTGGATTTTAAAAATCTATTTCTGTATCTTTTAAAATAAAGCACTAGAAATGAATGGTAGTTAATGAGCAATTATGTTTGGGTAATGATTGTATAGCTAATAGATTTCATGAAAGAAAAAAAATAATTTTTAAACCTTTCAGATCTCACAGAACACTTAAAAAATTTTAAACTATTAGGTACATACAAAAATAAAGCAAGAACCTAGAGAGGTGGAATTTGTAGAAGAGTGATGGACATCAGTAATAATGAATTTATAATTGTCACTATCTAGGATGATAGAATGGAAAGAACAATGGATTTGGAATCAGATTCAGACAATGAATAATAATTCATTAAGCTATTACCACATACCAGGCACTCTGGTAAATACTGGCAATACAAAGAAAAGGACCAAAATCGTCCTTTCCTGCAAGGAAATTACATTCTAGTGGGAGAGACAACACGTATATTAATAGGCATGTGGAAGATGCATACAGAATTGATAGAAGTTTTAGAGGGAATGCACAAGGACCTGAGAAGACCTAGGCTCAAAACCTGGATCTGTTACTACTTGCATAACCTTGGATAAGTCTCTTAATCTTTAAGCCTCTATGTTTTCATTTGTAGAGTCAATCTTCTACTGTCATCTATACTTTTAAAATTGTCATTCTGTACTTTCAAAAAATTCTGGTGAAGGCAACCATAAAGCTAACTTTTCCCACACATGAGAGGCATATCAACTATTTAGATTTTCTAAAAAAGTATATTTATGTGTGTTTGTATATAAACATGTCTATGTGTGTATATATATATATATACACACTTATATATATATGTATATATATACACACATATATACATATATATAAACATTTTATATATACCTACATATATGGTCAATCAAGAAGCATTTATCAAATATTTATTTTTGCCATGCAGCATTCTATTAAGTGATGGGGATACAAAAAAAAAAGACAAAAACAGTCTCAGTCCTTAGAGGATTTACATTTTTAAGAGAGAGACAACATGTAAATAATTAGGATTTTCTGAGTTGGGCCTGACTTGGGATAGGACCCTGGTGGTTTATGTTTGATATTACAACAAACTGAAATGGTTGGACGTCATTACAACTAGCTATAGCAGAAGGATAACTTGCTATAGTCAACAAGGATGTGCGTTTAGAAACATTTTGAGATGATTCTGCTGAGTAAAGATCCCCTGCCTGAGTTTCCCATCATGGTCCACTAGCCAAATTTTAGAGAAGTCTTGGAGCTTCTCATGGCTTTTGTGTACTTAAGAGACTACGAAGTAACGCCAGCAGCCTAAATCTTAAATCCCTTGAGTCAATCAAGTTTTGAGGATGATTAGAATACCTTTTAAGGAAAAACTAGCCTAACTTGCATAGAGGAAGTGTTAGAAAATTGTTCTCACTGTCCAGGTATATACGAGATATCTAGATAGTATGTATGGTAGATAGAAAGTAATAGGAACGGGAAAGGCACTAGTAACTAGAGGAACTTGGAAAGGACTCCTGAAGAAGGGATTTGGGCTGAGGCTTGAAGGAAGCCAGGGAAAACAAGGAGGCAGAGCTAGGGTAAGGGGATCATTCCAGGCATGGGGGACAGCCAGTGCAAAGGCAAAGGGACGGGAGATAGAGTATCCTACTCAAGGAACAATCTTGCTGCATTATAGGGTGTATGGAGGGGAATAAAGTGTAAGAAGACTGGGAAGGTACAATGAGCCAGGTTATGAAGAGCTTTACGTGCCAAACAGAGGACTTCATATTTGGTCTTTTGAATTTTGCACATATCAGGTTCACGATATCAATGGGACTTCCAGTTGAAGATCCAGTACACACTTATCTAGTTACATACATGTGAGAAGAAAATGATAGGAATTAAAGCTCAAGATATGAGATGTAATAGCAAGAGGACACCTTACTTAAATGCCTCAAAAGATCTATGATTTCACTGGTGGGGATATATCCATTACTTGTTCTCTCTCATCCTTACCTTTCTCAACCATACCCCACCCATTTCCCTAATCCAACTCTGCCCATGGCTTTCGCTATGCCCTCTAGAATTTCCCTAATCTTCCAAAATGAATAAATTTCCCTGCATCCTGTATCTTTTTTTCTCACATCTTCCCATCCATTTGCCTTCATTGAGACCTGGCTACTCCAGATGACACTGCAACTCTGACCATATTTTCCATCACTTACATGCCTTTCAATATACTGATCCTGGAGGGAAGGGGGAGAGAATTGGAATACTCTTTGCTCTACTCTGCTTCTTCCAAACACTCTCTTTGCCACCATGACTCAGCAACATTCCTATGAAAAAGTCTATAATATCAAAAATTATCCCCTTTTCCTATGAATGTAGGCTCCTGTTTACCAGATCCTGGTCATTCATCCTCCTTTTTTCAAAGAGTATAGGTCAAGGACTGGCTAAGAATCTTTCTTAAGTCTACCATTACCCTCATGTGTTTCACTTTCTTAATAAAAACTCTGACATTAATCTGACCATAGCTTCTCATCATTCCATTATAACACTCTTCCTCAGCCCTTTTATACATATTCTACACTTTCACAATGATCTGCAATCCTCATTACATTTTCAGGCCATAAACACACTGACTTAACTTTTTTCCCCTCCCCAATCTCAACACTTCAACTTTACACAGCCATCAATTCTCAAAGCCTTTGCCCTACCACTATTTCCATCCCTTGCCAATTCTTAGCCATGGATTTTTCCAGCCTTCTACTTCTTTTGTTCCTACTGTCATGCTGCTGAACAGAGCTGGAGGAAGTCACAAAACCATGCTGACTGTGTCTACCATAAATTCAAGTAATCTAATTTCAACTTGACTTTGACTACAGCAAGGCAGACTTTATTTCTTCCCTAATTGATTCCTTATTTTGCTACCCTTAGAAGCTATTCCAAACTTTTTCTTCTCTCCTCAAGCTTCTTACACCTTTCCTCTCTCTCACTCTATCAAAGAACTTGCTGCTTTACTTTATTGGGAAAATTGAGGCTATTTTATGTGAACTCCCAATTTCCCCTTTCTCCACATCATCTCTATCTGCTACTTCCCCCCAGTTTCTGATAGAGAGGTCACCATTCTCCTTGTTAAAGCTTCTATACAGGTGTGTTGTGAGGCTCAAATCAGATTATGGGTGTAAAATATTATTCAAACTTTAGGCTATATATGTGCTTCTCCTTCTTTTTCTTCTTTTGTCACCAGGCCTCCAGTTTGCTGATGATTTCTTTCCCTGAGCCTTCTATTTCACTCTTGACTGTATCGTTTTCTCCTTCCCAATACCCCCATATTTTCTCCAGGAGACTGACCTCCCAATTATATCCTTTCTCTCTCTAATCTTTGATCTCTCACTTTCTACTGGTTCTTTCCCTACAGTTTTCAGGGGGCCCCTAAATTTCAGAACTTTCCCTAGACACTACCATCCCATCAAGCTCTCATCCTATATCTTTCCTCTCTTTCTCAGCCGAATTCCTAAGAAAAAGTTGTCTAAACTCATTTGCTCCACTTCCTGTCCTCTCTTGCAATGTGGCATGTGGCCTCACCATTAAATTAAGCTGCTCACTCCAAAGTTTCCAAACATCTCTTAATTACCAAATCTGATGGTATTGTCTCAGTCCACATCCTTCTTGACCTCTATGTTACATTTAACACTACTGACAACACTCTTCTCCTAGATACTCTCTTTTTTTCTGAGTTTTTGTGACATTGCTTTCTCCTGGTTCTCCTCCTAACTCTTTGATAGCTCATTTTCAATCTCCTTTGTTGGCTCATCATCCATATCACATACTCTAACATGCATCATAACTCTCTCCTAGGCCCCATCTCTATATTCTCTTTTTCTGTGACCTCATTAGCTCCCTTGGATTTTCTATGCAGATGATTCACAGATCTACACTTTTGCACCCAATCTCTCCCCTAAATTGCATCATTGCTTTCATCACCTCTTGCTTGGATCATTGCAATAGCCTCATAACTTGTCTTGTTGTTCCAAGTTTCCCTCCCCCCCCCACTATATCCTATCCTCTATATAGCTGCCAAAATGATTTTCCATAAGCACAAATCTGATCATGTCACTTTCCTATTCTGCAAATTTCAGTGGTTCTCTATTCACTTTGGGATGGAATATCAACTGCTTAGTTTCCAAAGGCCCTCATAACCTAGCTCCAACCTAACCTTCCAGCATCACTGTGCATTATTCCCCATCCAGTCAAACTAGCCTTGCTCCTCACACATGACATTCTTATATCTTGTCTCCATGCCTTAATATTGGCTAGTCCGCATGCCTAGAATGCAATCCTCTGCCTCATAAAAGCCTTCTTTTTCTTTAAGACACAACTCAAGGATCATCTTCTACTTGAAGCCTTTCCTGATCACAATCCCCCAACTGCTAGTGTACACTTCCACAATGACCTTGCATTATTTATATTTCTTATCTTTAAATTAATTCTGTATACTTGTGTATTTATTGTCTTTCTGTTAGAGTATAAGGTCCTTTAGAGGGGAGATTCCTTCATTCTTTTTAATTGTATTCCCAGAATCTAGCATAATACCTGTCACAAAGTAGGTACTTAATAAAGATGAACTATTTATTGAGGTTTAAACCCTTCCAAATCTTAGAATATAGTTTAGTGAGTTTCTGTGGACAAAAATATTAATCTCCTGTTAAGTGAGGAAAAAAATACTTCACTACCTCAAATGTATTCAGGTCTCAAAATCCAGCCATATCATGTTTCAGGCTACTGAGGTTATAGAGAAAATGATAAATGCTACAAGACCATGGCATATATTTAGCTCAGTTTTTGACAATGATTCAAATGTGGTCTTCAAAACTTACATGCCAATAAGTATTGCATTTTGGATACAATAGACAGCATCTAGAGAAGAGCAACCAGCAATGGTAAAGCAGTCTAGAAATGGTGTCATAAACGGTATAAAAGCAAAAACAAAGGGAAGACTTAGCAAGACATGTATTTGGTGGTACGTCATATGCAACAGGGAATAGACATTATTGCTCCAGGAACAGAACTATGAGTATTGGGTGGAAGTTGCAGGGAGGTGGAATTTCCTAACTATTATTGTTGTCTGTCAATGGAAAAAAGTAATGAATTCTTCATTGCATGAAGTATTCAGAGACAGCCCTTAAAGATCATATAAAAGGAATCCTTTAATGACACTGGGAAGGAGATTGACTTCTAAGTTCCCTACTGAAGTTAAGATGCTCTAATTCTAAATGAACATTTTAAAGATATTTATTTATATAATTAAACATATAAAATAAACATGAATAGAAATGATGTTTGTACTAGATGAAACTTCCTAACTTTTTTAAATATCAGAAATAACAACTGTAGCATCCAAAGATTCTTACCTGAACGGCAAGCAATGTCCACATCCTTTTCAAAATCTGTCTGTAACAACAAATAATAAGACATAACAATGATCACTTAGTGATAACTCCATTTTCACTGCCCAGATAATCTGAAATTTTCAGATATATGATTAGGCATATTTTTTTGTGCAAAAGAGAGAATATTTGTGCAAAAAGAGAGAATATTTTGTTAATAATTAGATTGTTTTCAAGAATACTGTCTAGATACAAAGTATTAAATAAAAATGACTGTAGATGACATGACGTTTTAAATAAGATGACATAATACATAGTGACTTCTTTATTGAGGATGTTGACCACCATATTAAATATGAGTATGATTTTAAAGAAAGAATGTTAGGGACATTTTATAAACAGTAAAAATGAGAAATGTTTGCAAATTACATTAATATAAATGTTTTACAATAGACTTTTGTATTTTATTTTAAATGGCAACATTAAATGTATTGTTTATGGTTATATTTCTTGTAACGAAGCCAAGGTTGCCTCTCTTTGTAATCAAAATATTTCCTCAAGTTATCTTCATTCCCAAGCAACAAGAAAGGATCTCTAGCTTAATCATTAAACTTTATATTTTAAAAATGTCAGGATCATCTATTATAGTTAAATAAGCACAAATCTGGTAAAAAAAACCCTTATTGTTGTATTTTAGTCCAATTCAAATATTTGCCCTGTAATTAAAAATAACTGCATATAAAAACCCCAATTATTATTTTGATAACTCAATTTGAGGGGAAAAAAAGAGCCAAAATCATTAATCCAGCCCTGTGCTATTCAATGTCATCTTTGAATTTTCTAAAGTTAAAAACTTGTGTGTGTATGGGCACATAAATTTTCTAAGTATTGACTCTTCCCATATTTTAGTTAATGGTGTCTAACTTGGCCTCTTTGATATGGACTGAAGTGAAACAAAGAGGCTCTGAGAATCTATGAAATATTAACCTTTTAAAAACCTAGAGTATCCATCTCATCTGATTTCTAAATAGGATGTTAAGGCAAATCCAAGTGGTTATAATTAAGTATGCCTTCATTCAACAAGTGTTGTTACCATCTCAATAATTCCCTAGTTGTTCTTTCTTTGGAAGAATGTCACCCCATTAAGCGTTGAAGACAGCAAAAAGTGTACCACCCATCACATTCTCTGTTCTAAATAAACACCAGAGTCTTTCTTAAAAGTTTAATCTAGTTGTTCCTTCCAAAAAGAAATCACCTCCTTCAGATTGCTAAGTGGGAACAGGAGGGCAATAAAAGAGCAACATCTAAACTTTTGCAACCCTGGAATCGTAGTATAGGAATTTAATAAAAGATGAATATTATAATATTCTTCAAGTAAAGATTAATGAGCTAAAAATTAACTCACTCATTGGGTCTTTCCTATTATTATTATTATTATCATTATTACTATTAAGGACATTTGTTTTTTCTCTTTAAAAAAATTATTGCCTAATGACAGTTTTAAGGATAAAGTAAAAACTCACCATGATTTGGGCATGTCCATTAGGGAAAGAACTTGAGGAGTCTGCATTGATTGGATCTTGGCAGTTTCTTAGCCGACATCTAAATGCATCTTGAACCTGTGAAAAGGATGACAAAATATTGATTTTTTTTTTTGCCTTCATATAGTGACTTAAGCATAAAGTGAACAAAAGCTTCAATCTTATGATCTAATGCTCACTTTATCATGACACCTTAATGCAAATACATGAATTCTTAGGCTTTCTTCTCTCCTAGGGAGATTTATAGTTTGCCAGATAGTCAGTCTATGGAGATAAGAACTGAGAACTTTGCAGCTATCAACGTAGTTTTATCTGGCTCAGCACTAATAATTCTTCTGTCTGACCATCGGCATGCCAAAGGGCAGATTGATTCCCACTGTTAAAAACAATATGTATGTCCTGGACAGGAAATTTACTATCCGGTTTGGCAGAATCTTCACAGAATTTGAAATGTTGTAAGAAATGAGATAAATCTATGATCCTCCTTTAGGAGGAAGATTTAAAGTTTTTTTTTTTCTTTCCACTGTCTGTGTAGAGGATCCTCAGAAAGAAAATATCCTTTTTGCCTTTAGGGCTTAGTAACTTACTAGATGTGAAGAAAGTGGTGCTAATTCTTACTGTTCACACTGTCAAAGGATATTCCTATTGTAGAGATGAAATCGAGAAGTATCAAAGGATAGAAGCAAATGATCATTTTAATTGCACGCTCCTTCTATGTTTAAGGATAAATCATTGGACTCACTGCATCCCCTCTAGCAGGTATTTAGAGATAATGGTAATAGAATTGTGGTAGAAAGAGTACTGGATTCAGAATAACAGGCTCATAGATCTCTAGCTAGAAGGGGCTTCCAAGGTCATCTAGTTTAATCCTCTCATTTTATTGATAAGGGAATTGGGACCCAGAGAGAATGAGTGGCTTGCCCAAGGTCGCACAGGTAGTATCAGGATAGATTTGAACTCATATCCTTTGCCTCTATTGCCAGTTCCTCTGGGTTTTGATGCAGATTCAGCTTTTAAATCCTGGTTCTAGTTGGGTATCCAATGAGTTTGATGGTGCAATGGATAGTGTGCCAGGCCTGGAGTCAGGAAGATTCGTCTTCCTCAGTTCAAACCTGGCCTCAGTTCAAACTAGTGGCTGTGTGACTCTGGCCAAGTCACTTAACTCTGTTTACCTCAGTTTCCTCATCTCTAAAATGAGCTAGAGAAGGAAATGGCAAACAATTCCTATATCTTTGCAAAGAAAACTCCAAACGGGGTCACAGACAGTTGGACATGACTCAACAACAACAGTGCAGTTGGTAGTTAGTTACCTTTCCTTCTTGGAGCTGCTTCCTCATCTACAGACTTATATGAATATTGTGAGAAAAGTGCTTTGAAAATCTTTTAAAAAACCATATCAATCTGACTCTTCCAAATAATGTGTTTAAATGCATTAAATAAAATGCATGGGGATATGAAGAAAATAAATTATATCGAAATATAGTTATTAGAATATTAAAAACAAACAAAAAACATTTGACAGAGTAGTAGAGTGCAGGCTGAGAACCTTGTCCTAGAGAAAGAACTTCTAGAGAATAAGTGATAATCTGAAACTACCCTCTACCTCAGGGGTGGATTAGGAGCTGGGTAAGATAACTTCCTATCTAAGCATACTACATACCTTTAGACTTACTAATAAAAGCACATGTTCTGTGGGGCCTAGTCTCATGTTTTTCCTTGTCAGTTTTAGGGAAATAGACCTAATTCTACTAGATTTTCCCTATGAGTGACTTACCACTTGGAGAAAAAAGCCCATTCCCTGATACATTTGTTTTGGGGCCCCTCATGGCCCTCTTTGGAAGCTACTTCCAAATTAGACTAAATGGTTAAGGGTCTGATATAGTTCATGAATCCAGTCAATATACCCACAGAGTAATAGAGGAATTTTTTTTTCTGATCGTCTATTTATCTGGTCTGCAGAAACAAGAATTGATGAAGCCAGTACTGAAAACATATTTGTATTTAAGACAGTCCACAGAAGAGTAGTCAGAACAATCACAATATGCTAGCTGTCTGCAATTGTGCCTTAGGGCAATTGCAAATAGGACACAGTTTAAAAAAATGGAATAAATAATATTCAGGAAGGCTGCCCTGGGGGATCTTTTGTTTTGTTGTCTTTAATGATCTATAATAGAGGTCTCAAATGTGTCTTGCTACAGCATGTGGCCCAAAACACTCTTCAGTATGGCCTGAAACAGATTATAATGTAACTGGAAAAGAATTAACAAAATACATACAAATAAAATAAAACACAGATAATATTACATTTTAAAATTGTCAATATGCAGCCTGCAGGGATCCTTTTGGATTCTCTAGTGCTCCCTATTTCTATTTGAGTTGGGCACCACTGCTTGACAAGATACATTTTGAAAGGTTTCCCTAAAAATATCTTCCACTGTGGTCATACTTTATCTTCCTGACCTTCAAAATGGGGAATCCAGCCAAAGATTTGGGGCTGATATCAAAATATAAAAGTATTTCTGCAAGACTCCCTTCAAAACCCAGCAATTTTCTCATCTGTAAAAAGGGGGATGACTCCATCTCTAAATTTTCTAATCCCAGGAGCCCACAGTCATTCCAAAAGCTATATGAGTTTTTTATAGTACTAACTTTCACAGAATTTTCAATCAGAGATATCTCCCTGTCCCTGATGACACAGTGGATGTTTGGATTTGGAGTCAGGAATATCTGAGTTCTAATCCTGACTCAGACACTTTCTAGTTGTGTAATCTTGGGCAAATCACTTATTCCCTGTCTTAGTTTTCTAATCTCTAAAATGGGTATTATAATAGCACCTATCATACAGGGCTGTTGTGAGGATAAAATAAGATAACATTAGCAAAGTACTTTGCAAACTTTAAAAGATACATAAATGCTAGTTATTATTATTTATATAGATTTACATGTTGATTTACAGGGGAGTTTATTCAATATTCCCTAGATTCCCAAAGGGAGAGAAATGTTGGAAATTAACATAACAGTCTAGGTAAACTATTCTTAAATAGTCCGAGATGCCAGAGGTGGAGGGTGGGAAAAAGACTAGATTAGATAATACATTGAATAAGGAATGTATTCTTATATTGAGTCCAATGTTTTTTAAGGTCCACTTTGTGTAGACTATCAAGGTAGGCATTAGAGAGAGAAAAGTTTAGATGAGTTCAGTGAATATCTCGAGTATATATATTATGTTCAGTTTTTTGGGGTTTTTTTTGGCAAAGCAATTGGGGCTGTGACTTGCCCAGGTCACACAGCTAGTAAATGTCGTGTCTGAGGCTGGCTTTGAACTCAGTTACTCATGATTCCAGGGACAGTGATCTATCCACTGCTCCACCTAGCTGCCCCAGTATGTTCAGTTCTGAGTCATATAGGTGAACAACACTGATAAACTGGACAGTGGTAGATGAGGCAATCATTATAATGAAGGGTCTTGAAGATAGGCTGGAGGCACTGGGAACGTTTAGTCTGGAGAAGAGAAGACTCTTGATGCAAGGTGTGGTGGTGAGAGTTCTGATGTTAGCTGTCTTCAAGTATTTAAATGGCTTTCATGTAGAAGAGGTAATAGCATCATTTTATTTGGACCAGAGCAGCACCACAAAAAAAAGGTGCACATTACAAAGTGGGAATTTAAGTTTAAAAAAAAAAAAACTTCCTAACAATTAGTGTTATCCAAAAGGGTTGCCTCAGAAGGCAGTGGGTTTTTGCTCTCATTTGCAATTTTTAAGCACAGGCTGGATGATTATTTGTTGGATATGTTCTAGTATTGACTCCTTTTGTGGTTTGGTTATTGAGGAGACTGTTGAGGACCCTTCCAACTCAAATTATGTCATGAGATGCCAGTTCTACCTTCATGAAGCTTAACATATGGTAAGGGAAGGATGCCTCTAAAAACCAATACTCTGAAAGAAGAAAATGATATATCTATAATACTAAAGCATTCATAGATCTACAAATTTTGGACAGTTGGTTAAATTTTTCCAGTTTTTTTCTGGTTGGTTCACATCAGGTAAATGTAGACAGATTCTTCTTTGTGAGCTGTCTATGGGGCTTAGAAAGATCTAAAAATAATTTAGATTTTATTGATTGGTAAAAAAAAAAAAAACAACCAACAGAACAACCCAACATCAACACTATAGTGGGAGAAGAAAAAAGGAAGCAAGTTTTTTAGGGTGGCAAGTCTAGCCCAAAAAGAATTCTTAAAAAATCAAATGTAGTCAGAATTCATATGTTGCCCTCTTTTTTTTTCTTTTTTCTTTTTTACGGTGAACTGATAAATTTCTGTCAAAGTTCATAACTATAGGGCAGCTAGGTGGCGCAGTGGATAGAGCTCTGGCCTTGCAGTCAGGAGGACCTGAGTTCAAATTTAGTCTGGGATACTTGACACTTACTAGCTGTGTGATCCTGGGCAAGTCACTTAATTCTGATTGCCTCAACAAAAACAAATAAACAAACAAACAAAAAAACAGAATAATGTATAAAAAAAATGCAGAGGATAGAGCACCAGCCCTGAAGTTAGGCAAACCTGAGTTCAAATCTGGCTTCAGACCAAACACTTGACACTTACTAGCTGTGTGACCCTGGGCAAGTCACTTAACCCCAATTACCCAAAAACAAACAAAAAAAAACTTGCAAAGTTCATAACTATAACCTCCAGGGATTCTGAAGCAATGAACACTTTTTCCCTTTATTATTACCCTTATCTCAAAATAACAGAAGTAACTCTGATTTTGATCCCCTAACTAGACTGTAAATCCAATAGGACAGGGACTGTGTTTTATGTAAACTTTATTTCTCTTCTAAGTGTTTAGCTTGGTGTGGGACTAAACCTGTGATTTCCCTCTTCCAGATGAGGAACCTCCCTCTATCTATGCACCCTGATACCTTCTCTGTAATTTAAACTCATGCAAAGTAAATAGAGAGTGGTTAATGTTTGTTGAATTGAATTTATTATTTAACTTCTTATACCTGGTTTACAATGGATTATGAATAAGTCAATAAGTTTAGGTAGGGATACAGATGAATCATTTTTATAGGGAATGATT